TCGGAGCGAACACCAGACATCGATGCCGGCGGATTTTACAAGGAGGGTTTCAAGGTGGGGAGAGGCGCCGTGGTTTGGAAGCGGCGTGGGTGAGGAGGCGCTGGGGCACCTTTTATTCTGCTGTGCGTCCCTTGCGGCCCGGCGAGCGAAATTTGGCTTTGAGGGGGTTTGAGGTGCCTGCGCTTCACTTTGGTCAGCCACTGGCTCGGTTGTTTTGCAATCCGTTCGGTCTCCGCGCCCACTGATTTGCCCACAGCCGGCGGCGACATAGAAGATGGTGGCGCTGGCCTGCTGAAGGCGGAGCGCCTTTAGTTTGTTGCTTTGATCGTTTGTCTTGTTTTGCTTCGGCTTCTTCCGCGCCCTCGTTTTCGGCACAGCCTGCCCCAAAAACCCCAAATCGCAATTTCTCCGCTCCCCCCACTTTTCTAAGGGGAGGCTACTCCGGCAGGATGCTCGGATTCAACGTCTAAATTATCGCACAAAGTCGTAAATGGCGCCGATGCAATCCCCTCTGGAGGGTGGTGGAGCCTCCCGCGCAAACGTAAAACGGTTACAGCAGCAACTGAAAAATTTTTCAGTGGATTTGCATAATAACATTTTGTTATTATGCTGCTGTGGTTGAGCACTCATTTTTATTTTATTTTTTTTGCTGCCATCACAAGAATTTGTTCTGTTTTTGCTGTCTTAACGGGAGGATGCAAACAAAAGAGTCTTCTTGGGGCCATTTGTGAGGGAGGCTCGAATAAATTGGAGATGGCGAGAGCCGAGGGCCGAGGGCCGGGACTGGGTTGCGCGTGGCATTGGAAGCAACGCCCGTGGCAAAGGGAAGAGATCGCAACGCGGTGGTACAAGTACCTCAGTGCTGCCCTTGCCGGTCGACACACGCATGTCGGTTGGTGAGGGGGTATGTGTCTCATAGCCTTAAGCTGATGATTATTTCTTGAGATGGGGTTAAATTGTGCTTGGTTTGGTTTGTCTGGCCTTGCCGTCCGCTATGGGTATTGCGCTAGTCTTCTGTTTGGCTCGCGGTTGCACCGTTGGCTTCTGTCGGCACTTGTCTGGGCAATGATTCTTTCTCTCTGGTGCGTTCGTGGGGTGCCTTATTATTTCAATTTTTTCCCAATATTAACTTCGTGGATTGTGGTTTGCGGTGGACGCGCCATGTTTACGGGCTGACGGGGTGAGGGTGTAGGGAGTGAGGAGCAAGGCAGTACTCTTCAATGAGGCGTTATGGTTGTGGTATTCTATTCGTGGTGCCTGTCGGCGTACCATTTTTTTCTTTGTTTGATGCAACGTGTCGCATGTATCTAGTGGCAACTGTTATTTACCTGCGCACACAGACAGCGGCAATAAGAGAGAGGGGGAGAGGGAGAATGGACTGCAGTAAATGTGGGAAATGTGCGTGGGTCATTTTGCGCGTGGGTCCAATTATATCGACGAACGACATCGATGTGTTGATGTGTCTTTTAAAAAGAAAAATGATTGAGGTTGTTTTGTACGGACTGGGCTGAGAAGCTAAAGATTCTCACCTTACCAACTGAGCTTTTGTTTGTTTTGGTTAGAAACAATGCTCAACGCCCCCATCTTTTTTTATTATTTTATTTGGCTCCGGCGCTTCTGAAAAGGAGGAAAATATTTTTAGGGGAAAAGCGACCAGGTGTCGCTGAGCAACTGATATCGATTTATTTGTGCTCCCCCAGTTTTTTTCTTGTTGACTTGATTTGGTTCCTACGAGAGCGCGTTGTACGGTGGTGTGTGCGGTGTTGCTGTTGTTTTTTTCGTTTCTTCCCCAAACTAATACCTGCCATGATCCTCCGCGCGGAGGAGCCTGGTGGCTGCAGGGCCCTAAAGACTGCCACGTTGCCAGTTCACGGCGGGAGGCCAGTTATCATCGCCTGTACTTCATGCACTTATTTGGGTATTTGTGCGTGTGTAATGAATGTGGGATAATATTATGGTGACTATGACTGTGTGTGTGCGTGTGCCGCATATGCGGAACTAACATTGCGATCTCCCATTATGGGACCTTCTTGTGGGATATATACCTGGGTTC